GGGGGGGGGGGGGGGGGGGGGGGAGAGAGAGAGAAACTCCAATAATGAGAGAGAGTCACCAATCTGCCTCCTGCATGCCCCCCACTGGGGATCAAGCCCTCAACCTGAGCATGTGCCCTGACAAGGGATCGAACCGTGACCTGGTTCATAAGTTGACGCTCAACCACTAAGCCACGCCAGCCAGGCAAATGTTTTTCTTAATATTGTATTGCTTTATAGACATTGTACTGATGGGATTTTTAAATCATTTTGCCTTGACACATTTTCTAACTGGTTATTTATAAGATACTATTTATTGTTGACCGTCTCAACATATAAAATTCAGTTATGAGAAAAATCTCTTCACCAGAGTACTATGTATTTGGTATTTTGATGAAAAAAGATTTCTCTCATACCTGTCTTTGTAAAAGAATGCTATGCAGAAGATACGGTATTTTGTGTGTTCCGTGCACAGAAGGGGGGCAGGGACCCCAGATAAGGAAACGGGCTTTCCTGTGACAGTCCACTCTCTCAGCTAGATGTGCACCATGTTTAGTTTTCCTCCTATTAACATATTCTCTTGTGCTCTTCCCAACTCGGTGCTTTTCTAACTATGCTGTAAATACAGGATCTCTGGCAGTTCGCTTAATTTTATAGAAAAAGTAGAAGTCTTATTGTTTGAGACCTGTTAATGAGTTTCCATGGTATGTAATTATATTTTTTAATGCTATCATTTTTGTGCTTTGTATTTGAAGACTATTAGCTATTCAAACCCATGAAGTCCCAAGTCTGTTTTGCTTTAGGATTCAGGAAATTTCATAAAAGTAAAAACTGTAAAGTCAATTCCTTTTTAAAGACTTGGTATTTAAGAACCTGTAGGCTACCATATATATTGCATTATACCCTGTTACTGAGATGTTTTGAATTCTTGTATGACATTTTTCAATTTTGCTAGCTTTCAATGATTTAAAAAATAAGATTCTTCAAAAGAAATTCTAAAACAAAAGTTACACAAGTATTGCCTCAAATGGAGCATGAAAGACATTGGAAAGAAAAGGTTCAAGAGTTCTTGCAATTCAAGTTTAATTTTTTCTAATATAAAAAATATCTAGGGAGAGAAACAAGATGGCAGCTCAGGTAACAGCTGTACCGCTGCCTCCCGCAACCACATCAGAATTACAGCTAAAATACAGAACCACCATCACTCAGAACCTCCTGAGATATGGCCAAACAGAAGCCCTACAACCAGGGAACTGAAGAAGCACCGAGACTGGTAGGAGGGGCAGACAGGGGGCCGGATTGGGGCTGAATCACGGAGACACTGCCACAGGCCCACACCTGGTGCTGCGGGTTAAACCCGGGAGGGCATCTTGGGGCGGAGGTTTCCCAGGAGTGAGGGGTCCCAGCCCCACATCAGGCCCCCAGCCCAGGGCTCCAGGGCCAGGAAGAAAAGTCCCCCAGCTTTGGGCTGTGAAACCAGCAGGGACTGTTACTGAGGGTTGTGAAGGCTGCGGGAGCCCCAGTAGCTCCTCTTAAAGGCCTGCGCACGGACTCACTCAGACGCGTTCCCCCTGAGCCCCAGAACCAGGCAGCAGTTTGAAAGGAACCTGGGACACTTGGGGAGGAACTAACCTGCCTGAAATCTGGGTGAGAGGTGGAGGGGCAGCTTCCTCCAAGGCAGAAGAGCTGGCAGAGGCCATTGCTCCTTTGTAGAGCCCTCGCCCCACAGCAGTGTGCCCCATATGTCTTGATAAGTGGCCCCAGGCCTGGCACTAGCGGCAGCCTGCATTGGTCCATAGCTTGGCCTCTCCTGGACACACCAAGCCCAGCAGAAGTAGCAGCCAACTACGGTTTGCTGTGTAGCTCATGCTGGGTCGCCCTGGGCAAGGCACTGGCACAGGCTGACTTTGCACCTCCCAGGAGGGCCCAGAGACAGTGCACCTGATGGTCAGGCTCGACCACGCTGGATTACAACCCTACCACATCCACAGTGACACACTCAAGGGGCACACTTGTTGAACACCAAAGCTCCACTGAAATAAATTCTGCTCCATAGGGGTGTCTCCAGCACAGAAGCTCTTTGGCTATAGTTGCAGCTGGTCCTTACAGCCAACTGGCCTGGGGGACAGTTCCTCCCAATGACGCCAACAGCAAGCAAGGCTCAACTACAACAGGACAGTGCACACAGCCCACACAGGGAAGCACCTAGAAGGCCCAGCTCAGGTAACTGGGGAGGCTGAGCCACTGGACCCTACAGGACACCTACTACACAAAGCCACTCTACAAATTCCAAGAGACATAGCAGCTCTACCTAATACATAGAAACAAATACCTGGAAGCAGCCAAAATGTAGAGGCAAAGAAACATGTCACAAAGGAAAGAACAGAAGAAATCTCTAGAAGAGGAACTAAATGAAATAGATCCAAGCAAGCTAACAGATACAGAGTTCAGAATTTTGTTTATAAGGATGTTTAAGCATACTATTAGGGAAATAACTGAGAAAATCGATAACATAATAAAGTGCCAATTTGAAATGAAAGCTACAGGAACTGAAATGAAGAATAATT